ACAGCCTACTTTTCCGCATAAGGTCTCTTTTGCCAGACTCTGCAGCAGTCTGGGTTGCCCGTCGCTCTAGTGAAATCCAGCTGGTTGTTTGTGCTCAACATGCAGGACAAGACTCTGGGTCTAGAATCTACTATATACTATGTACTTTCTGTTCCATTTGAGAATGTTCAATATTCTATACCATAAGGATTTGAGCTGAGAGCATTTACCCCTGAACAAGAAGCTGATTCATCTCAGAGCCTTTGATAAAATGCCACATGTACGCAGGTGTAGGACAGTGAGGGATGGCTTTGAATGCAGCTCTGGCATCGTTTCTGTGAGGGTTGTTTTGCTTTGACATACAGTAAATGTGTTAGGATGTTTTTGTTGTTTTTTAAATGTCTGCCCTGGATTAAACCTAGGTCACTTTTCCATATCAAGATATTTTCAATCTGTTCTATTGTTGAGGTTGATAAACTTGGACGATAACCTCAATGTAACAATATCACGAGGGCTTGTTCCAGTGTTCAGTGTGTTTAACCTGTGGGTCTTTCTGTGGCTGAGGCTGCACTTTGTTTTGACGTATCACAGTCACAACAACATGAAGGTTTGACAGGCAGCACTTACTGTACCGCTGCAGTCTCAGCAGCAGTGGCAACGCACAGCCATCCAGTGCTTTTGAGAGCTAAAATATTGTCAGCAAAGTAAACAGTTAATAAGTTATTCATGTATTAATGCTGGTGTGTAACAAGGAGAATTCATTTCCCTGATCATTGTTATGGCACAGTGAGACGGTATTTTAGGATGATTCCAATTCCGTCACTGTAACACTTAATAATGATGTTTATCTACAAAGCAAGCGTTACTCATAAACAAGGCAAGGGAAGTTTATTTGTATAGCGCAATTCATACACAAGGCAACTGCTGAACGAAACAAAAACATTAAAATCATAAATAATCACAGTACATTAAAAAGAAAGTAAAACAAAAACATGTATATGTACAATACAATACATTACAATTTATTCTTGTATAGCCCTAAATCACAACAGAAGTAATCTCAGAGGACCTAACAAAACCACTGAAATCACCAACACAGATCAGAGAATCAACTGTTAAGACACATTAGCGGTTGATTCTCCGATTCTCTGATCCAGAACAGTTTTTAACCTGGATTCAAACTTTGACAGAGAAGAGGCCTGTCTCACATTATAAGGAAGATTGTTCAAGATTTTTGCTGCATAATCTGAAATGTAGCCTCCCCATGTTTAGTTTTGACTCTGGCCACCAGCAGGAGTCCAGTCCCTGTGCTCCTCAGAGTCCGGGCTGGTTCATATGGTACTAACATGTCACTAATATATATTGGTGCGAGGCCATGGAGAGACTTGTACACAAGCAGAGCTGTTTTAAAAACTATTCTCTGAGCCACAGGAAGCCAGTGCAGAGACCTGAGGACTGGACTAATGTGGTCTCACTCCCTGGTTCTAGTCATGTACTGCAGCTCTCTAACTGCTTGTTTGGAGAGCCCTGTGAGCAGGCCATTACAGAATTTAGGCAATTAATCAGCTTTTGAAAAAATCTAATTTGTGAAAAATGTGAAAGGATATTGTGAGGGTTCCAGCAGCACATGAATTATACTTGCAATATCAGCACAGTCTGTACAAGACTTTTATAATACGTATCGGGGGAAACAAATAGTTTTGAAACTTGAATATTGAGCGGATAGATCAAAAAAAAAATTAAAGCGCAAAGTTTGTCTTAAAATCTAAATCGTCCAAAACAGGAAATAAAATCTAGATTGTACTGTTTTGTCATATCGCCCAGCCCTACAATAGTCTAACCAACTGGGGACAAATGCATGGATAAAAGTCTGCTTTAGACACTATGTTTTTGATCCTGGCAATGTTTTGTTTTTTGTGGTATAAAGCCATTATTATACTCCTCGATTTCTGACCTGATTTGAAGGTTTTAAGGAAGTTGTTTTGCATCCACTCACTGATCTGTTGGATACAGTGAAGGAGTGAGTCCACTGGTCCATGTTCTCCTGCAGTCAGTGAGACATAGATCTGAGTGTCGTCTGCATAGTTATGATAGGACACTTTGTTACTGCGTATTAACTGACCTAACGGCAGCATGTAGAGATTGAACAGAAGAGGTCCCAGGATCGACCCCTGTGGTACTCCACAGGTCAGGGCCATATGATCTGAGACACAGTTTCCAATCTCCACAAAGTACTTCCTGTCTTCAAGGTAAGACTTCAACCCACTTAGGGCGGTGCCAGCGACGCCAACCCAGTCCTCTAGTCTCTGCAAGAGGATCTCATCTGCACTCAGATCTAACAACACTTAGATTGAGACTTTGCCTGTGTCAGTCTCAAATGCACAAATGAAGAATTCATAATGAATCATTCATTAGTTTATTGTGAGTTCATGCTAATTCATGCATGAAATCATCATGAGTCCATTATCTTTATTCATGATGATCAGGATGAGTTCCACAGTGACGAGGCAGTACAGTACATCATAAGTATCCTAAAAGTTACTGTTCAACAGAAAAATTGCACAGAACATGAGATTTTAAAACGGTTTGTTTAGGAAGCAGGTATATTCTCCCAGATGGAAGGAGTTCAAAGTCAAGCCTCAGGGCATCATGAACTATCATGATTGACAGTTACAGTGTATTTGTCATGACGAGCCCATATTGACTCTGGTTTTCATCATGATTCAAACTGTGTTCACTGTGAGACTCATCATGATCATCATTTATGAAGGTAATTCTTTCATGGACTCATCATGAACTAATGAGTTAAGCATGAATTTATCATTCATTAATGAATGGATGAATTAACGTTCTCATAAAATGTGACCACAGAATCCACTCAAAATGTAAACATTAGTCATAGTTAAGAGCCTTATACTGTTTACGTCAAAGCATTGACTGTAAAGAAAGTTGTTTTTAGTCAATGACTTTGACAATTTTTATCCCATTTTTATTATAAAGTAAGAATACAAGAGGAATGTGAAGGAATCTGAAGATATCTGAAGTAGATATGAATTTGGAAGCAGCAGTGATGCAGCAGGTGGCTGGCGACATCTTAAGCACAGTGCTGTCTCACTGTTCCGACAGACATCTGCGGTATAGAGGAAGTTAAGAGACTGTTGACGCTATTATGATTTGAAGTGTTTTGAAGAATTAGAAAATTAAGAAATAAAGTTGGCTCTGATGTCCAACTGTGAAACTTGGCAGCGAAAAGTGTGGCGCTTACTTCTGCTGCTGATGCCTGTTTTTCTCACTAAGGATTCTTGAAACTGCAAGAAAAATGTTTTTCCAGCAAGGCTGCCCCCGGGGAAGCAAACAGGTCACGTAAATAGGTCAGCAAGCGCATGTGATGATTTAGGCTAGCACTGAAAAGTCAATTCACTCAAAAGCAATTAATTTCCAGGGGGGATAGTGTTCGAGAAGGGGGTTAAAAAAATAGATGATAGGGCTGGATTTGAAGAGAGACTGTTGAAAAGCAAGTTTCCTCTGTGTGTATTCTGGGGAGGCTTCTCCTGCAAACTCTAGAGCCACTCAAGCCTGACAAGAAGTTGTACTTATTGAGACCACAGACAAACAGACAGACAGACAGACAGATGTTGAAGTGATACTTGTGAATATGCAGCATTAATCCAGGATTCAAGACATTGACACATACAACAACAAAAAACATTTATAGCGGCATGACAGTTACTTTTGTTATAGCTTTTTGGCCCAGATAGACCTCATCCAGACAGTTCCAGAAGCATCTAAGTCACTAAAGTTGGTGCTCACAGTACCAGTGACAACAGCATCTGTAGCGAGATCATTCTCAACACTAAAACAAAAGATTCAGTTGCAACAGGTTGGATCCAGGACAACTTTCATCCCAGGAAATTATATTGATCAAAAGGACGACTCCTACAAAAAAAGTTGTACATTTTTTTGAGAAGGAGACTGCAATAGACTTTGAATGAATTGAGGTTTATTTGGTTACAAACAAATCAAAATGTATGGGTCTATTTTGTTGCAAATAAGGAATGTAACCAAAAAAGGTGTAGGCTGAAAACAAACAAAACAACATCTACCCAATTAAATCAGTCAAATTATACACATACATATACATACACATAAACATAAGTATATATAAATATTTGGATATGCTTTTTTTTTAGTTTGAAGGATTGTATGTTATGAATATAAATTAATGTTTGTATCAGTATTCCAATTACTTACATGTGAACATACCTAGACCCATCTAACTTAAGAGTCCATATAATCATCCAAAGTTCTTCTTTTAAATGTAAAAAAAAAAATGTGTGGATGGAATTGCTCTTCTTGAGATCATTGGTGAGACCTTTCCACGAGTCGACCCCTTTGACCGAAATGTTGTTCATTTTAAAGTTGGCTTGGACTATCTGCCTTTTAAACATGTTTTCTCCTCTTAGGTTATATATCTCTACCCTGTTTTCAAACATACATAGTATATTTTTAGGCAATATTATCCTATTTACCATGCATGAAGACTGCAGTATTCAGAGTGACTAAGTCGTAAAATGTAATTGCTTTATATTTGCAGAATCTTGCGCTTGTCGGTTCATGATACGGTGAATGGTTGACTGTCCATATGGCTTTTTCTGTAAAATAAAAATAGGTTCTGTATTTGTAGCAGTCCCGGCGTCAAGAGGGGGCGTGGGGGGGCGTTGCCCCCTCACGCCGACAGTCCCGCCCCCTCAGTCAAAATGTATATATTTTTTTAAATAAAGGAGTGTATATATATTATTCACAGTTTGTGTATTCAAAACAATCCAGAAACTCAGAAGAAACCCCACTGACTCTAATGAACAGTTTTGAAAATTAAAATTCACATTATAGTTGAACTCATGTTACCCATCACTCAATTGGTGGGAATATGCAGTGATGACCTTATCAGTGCATATTCCCGCCGTACGGAGTTGCCTGTAACCAGCCAGCAGCTAAGGGTTAGCTCTTCATTTCTGATAAAAATGGACATTCGTACATGGCTGAAAAAGCCAAACACTACACCGGCAGTGTCCCCGCAGCCTGGCAGCAGCTACAGGAGAACCGGAGAAGCCGAAGAGCACCTGCCGAGGCCATGGCAGCAGGTGCCGAGGCAAATGGAGGAGAGTGATTCTCCCGCCATTCCCCCGGTGCCAACAGCCTCTGACCCGGGTTCAGCGGTGTTCGGGGCGGCGAGGCCACCATTGCACTCGCAGCAACAGCTTTGTTTACCAGAAGACCTCGGAGTTGAAAAGCCAGTTCAAGTTTGTCTCCATCAGTTTCCAAAGAAGCAACAGCATAATAATGACTGTAAACGGTCTTTTTCGGCTAACTGGTACAATGGGAAAGACTGGCTTGAATATTCCCAGCAAGCGGACGCTGCTTTTTGTTTTCCCTGCAGGAAATTTGGAGGTAGTGACTCCGTTTTCACAAGAACTGGATATAATAATTGGAAGCACGCTAATGATAAGGCAAAGGGATTTAGCAGGCATAGTAACAGCAAAGAGCACCTAGCGTGTATGGCGAGCTGGAAAGAGAAGCAAATGCGATGCAACATAGGTAGCGAAATCTCAACTTTGGTTAACTCTAATCAGCTTGTGCAAAACCGCCTTTATGTGTCTGCAATTGTGGACATAATTGAATTTCTTGTCTCAAACGAACTGCCACTGCGGGGTGACGTGGATTCAGTCAATAGCAGAGATGATGCGGGCAGTGGACTGTTTCTTTCACTGTTTGAATACACACTGAGGCAAAATCAAGAGCTAGCGAGGGCTTTCAGTACAATTCCAAAAAACGCAACTTATACATCACATGATATACAAAATCACATAATTGAACTGATGAGCACGATTGTAACAGAGCAAATTGTTAAAGATGTTGGAGAGTCGTGGTTTACACTCAAGATGGATGGAACTAAAGACCCGACAGGCCGTGAAAATGTTTCTATAGTTGTGCGTTATGTGGACAAGGACTTCAAAGGCAGGAGAGGCTGTTATCAATGCAGACAACAGACAAGTGTGATGCCCTGTCACTCACTAATGTAGTGCTCAATGAACTGTCAAACGCCGGCCTTGACGTAAATAAAATTCTTAGTCAGTGTTATGACGGAGCCAGCGTCATGTCTGGAAGAGAGGGAGGCATGCAGAAGCTTATTCAAAATAAGTTAAACAGAGAAGTGCCTTATATTCATTGTTTCAACCACCAGCTGCATTTGGTGGTTGTTCATGCTATTTCCTCGGAGAGCGCAGTCAGGGATTTTTTTGACGTGTGTAATTCCCTTTATACATTTCTGAAAAAGCCCACTGTAGCAGCACAGTACAGAGGAGAAAAGCTTAAAAGGCTGTTAGAACAGCAATGGACTGGACATCTTGACACGGTGTCTGTGGTGCTGAAGTCACACGCCACACTGGTGGACTTCTTAAAAGAAATGAGATGCACGGGAGCAGGTGCCGATGTAAAAATTGAAGCTGTTGGACTTCACAAGGCCATCACAGAACGGACCTTCAAATTTCTGACCTGTGTGATGCACAAATTATTGGGGCTGATGGACCCAGCCAATCGGATCCTGCAAGCTGAAGAAACGGATCTAATTACTGCAGTCCGCCTCATTCAAAGTGCATCTTCTTGCATCGAAGCTTTAAGATCTGATGCGGAATTTATTAAATTGTGGGATGACAGTGGGGATGCATGTGAGGGCACGCCTGTCCCCTCCAAAACGACTGCGGCAGACCACCGGGGCCCTTCAGGACTACGTGGTGAGTGAAGGCCTTGGGCAGCGCGAAGCAGACATCCAACAGGAGTGTAAGCGCCTGTTTTTTGCCATAATCGACTCGATTTTGTGTGAAATGGCTGCGCGTTTCAGCGAGCGCAATGGGACATACATGACTGCTTTGAACGCTTTGGATCCCGTAAGTGTGAATTTCTTGGAGGCCAACAAAGTGAAACCACTACTGGATTTGACCAACACAGAAATTATTGAGGGACAGTTCACAGTTGCACGGGACTATTTGAAAAACAGGTGCACAGGCCAGGACGAGGAGAAAGTGACTTTGAGTCAGCTTGTTGCAAAAGAATACATGGTATTGAGTGCCATGCCAGCGGTAATGACCGCGTTCAAACACGCACTGACCTTCGGGGCATCAACTGCTATGTGCGAAAACTCATTCTCCACGTTGAAGAACGTATTTACCGAGCACAGACGCAGCATGTTGCATAAACGGAAAGCCCACCTCATCCAGCTGGCTTTTGAGAATGATCTCAGTCGGAAATTCAAAGATGAATGGAAGGAGATGCTGTTACGGAGATTCCACTCATCAGAAAAGAGGAGACTGCAACTCTACTAAAGATAAGAGCTGGTTATTTTATCATCCGTATATTGTTGATGCTACTGTTTTTGTTACCAATGTTTGTTACTGCTTTATTACCAATTGATTACGCGTCAGATCAGCGAGTGTGATCTTTGGAGTGTTTTGATGTTGCTCTGTGCTACATGTGTATCACTTCTGAGTCTTCATCTGTTTCTTAATGGTCGGGTTAGAATGAACGTTGCGTTAAAGCAAGAATTATTCCTTATGGCCGTGTGTTATTGTAAGTGTTTTATTGTGTTAATTACAACACATTATTGTAACTTGTTATCACGTTTTATCTATGTGGCTTATATTTTAAAAAAGTTACATACAAGTTGCATACGTTTTCTCATATGCATGCATACACGTGACGTCATTGCCCCTCCACGTTTTTTAGCCGCCCCCCCTTCTATACTGAGCTGGCGCCGGGACTGATTTGTAGTGTAGGCATACCCCCATATTTCTGCACTGTATGAGAAATGTGGAACAACCAGAGAACAATACAGAATGTACAATAAGGGTGGAGATAGAAAATACTTGGTTTTATGCAGTGTTGGGCACGTTACTTTGAAAAAGTAATTAGTTATAGTTACTAGTTACTTCTCCCAAAAAGTAACTGAGTTACTAACGGAGTTACTCCACAATAAAAGTAACTAGTTACCAGTAAAAGTAACTATTGCGTTACTTTTTCGTTTTGTTCTGGAACATAATGTGCACTTGAGGTGTGCAGTTTTACCTTTAACCTCAGTGAGTCTGAAATAGCGCCAATATTTCCATCTAAAACCTGTTCTACGTCATGGTGCTACGTCCCTTAGGACTTCGCTAGTGGGATATCACTCGTGACCCCCAGGTCACACGCCAGAGAGATCAAAATAATTTGCTCCAATCACCAGCCACCTTCCTCTATAAATGCCCCTGCACAAGGCCGCACCCCCTCTTTCACTCTGGCGCCGTTCGAGATCTACCACAGTACTTACTTCATTCTGAGATGTCTTCCTTGTTCGTCCGAGTTCCCTTCGCCCTCCGGCGTCGGACGTCGTCACTGGATCCAGACGGTGGAGGACTTCACCTCTGTGGGTGCCACCACTCGAGGGAGGAGGAGGTTAAAACCCACGTTGTGCCCGCGGATGGACCCGTTCGTCCATTACGCGACACGTGAGTGGCCTAAGCCCCTAGCAGCCAAGAGGCCTGCACTGGGGTACGACATATACTGCAGCGGGCAGGACTGGTCCTGGACCGGTGATCGAGGATTCAGTCCGCATGGCCCTGCAGCCCTCCGCATCCGTGTGGCCCGGCACCAGGCCTCTCCTTCTCTCCGAGCGGGACAGGATGTCTTGCCGAGGCTGGATAGATATTATGCCAATGCGGCACAGGTCGTCACATTGGCTATCAACATGACTTTCATCACGGGGGCCCTGGATAGGGCGCTCTGCTCTGGCCAGGCGCTCAGTGGAGACCTCCTGTCACAGGCGAGGACCACCTCGGCGGCGATCCTGCGCATGTGCCAGACGCTAGCCGTGGATGGTGGCCAGGACACCGAGGATTCAGTCCGCATGGCCCTGCAGCCCTCCGCATCCGTGTGGCCCGGCACCAGACCTCTCCTTCCCTCCGAGCGAGACAGGATGTCTTGGCGATGCCGGATAGATGTTATGCCATTGCAGCACAGGTCCTCGCATTGACTAACTACATGGCATTCATCACGGGGGCCCTGGATATGTTGCTCTCTTCTGACCAGGCGCTCAGTGGAGACCTCCTGTCACAGGCGAGGACCACCTCGGCGGCGACTCTGCGCATGTGCCAGACGCTAGCTGTGGATGGTGGCCGCTCCATGGCAGCAGCCCAAGTCGGGCCAGGCACCTTTGGCTTGGGCTGGCTAATATCAGGGAGGCGGAGAGGAGGCAGCTGCTGGACCTGCCCACCTCTCAGATGTCCCTCTTCGGCCCGGACATGCAGGCCTGGGTGGCGAGACTGGAGTCTGCAGCTAAAGACTCGGCTAGGCTAGCCCCGCACCTAGCACCGAGGCGCGAGGCCCACCAACCATCACGGAGCCGGGACAGAGGTCGAGAGCGTTGGCCCGGGAGGCATCCTGACCCGTATCCGCGCTCTGTTATCCATCGTCCCCCCTTGACGAGGCCCCCGGGTCCAGACAGACCCATGGGTGGCTCGCGGGAGCAACGCACCCACCACCGACCTCCCTATGGTAGAGGAGGCCGGGGTGGAAGAATTTTTCCTTCAATAAAGGCCGACCGGCATTTCCATTACTTTTCTGAGTCTGATTTGGGGGTATGTAACATCGCTAGGCCTGCAGCCCCAGAGAGGGGCGTGCAGTGCACTACGAGCTCCGGTTTCTCTGATCCATACTATGCCCTCCCAGAGAGAGGTCAAGCGGAGGGATCTGGTGAGTGATATGTGTGTGCTTCGGCCGAACGCGTGTTAGCATCTCTGAGCTACAGGGCTAACACGGGGTTTCCCACTCCAGGGGCTCGCCCCCCCCTCCATGAGGCAAGAGCCAGGGGGGGGCACAGCAGCCGAGTCACGTGTGGTGAGCAGAGCTACAAGGCTGACACGGGGTTTCCCACTCCAGGGGCTCGCCCCCCCCTCCATGAGGCAAGAACCAGGGGGGGGGCACAGCAGCCGAGTCACGTGGGATGAGCAGTCCCGTACTTATGACGTCGGGCCTGCAGGACACGTGACCGCCCCCGGCGCTCACGGTGTGACGCAGGGTGCCCCCCCGGCCCTTTCGTCCACCCCCCCTCCCTGCTAGGAACACCAGGAGAGGGCGGGGCCGTGACGTCTCGTGTTCCAGCTCCCGTTCCGCCCCTCACAGACTTCTACAGCATCTGGAGGGAGCAAAGATGGCTGACATATCTATGGCGGGAGAGAACATTGCGCAGGGGTTACGCACTGCAATTCTCCCAGAAGCCACCACCATTCCGAGGCGTACGGGCAGCACGCTCTCAGGTACGGGGTCATTAGAGGCACTGCAAGCGGAGGTCTCCTCTCTGCTGAGCCTAGGCGCAGCAGTGGAGGTAGACCCACAGGACGCCACCAGGGGGCTGTACTCCCCTTACTTCTTAGTGCCAAAGAAGTCAGGCGGGGTGCGTCCCATTTTGGATCTTTGCGTGTTGAACGAGTGCATTTCCAAACGGCAGTTTCGGATGCTGCCCACAAAGCAGCTCCTCGAGTGTGTCAGGCAGGGAGATTGGATATCCTTCATAGACCTGACAGATGCGTACTTCCACGTGCCGATAGTACCGGAACACAGGAGGTTCTGCGCTTCGCAGTGGGAGAGAGGAATTACGAGTACTGTCGTTTTCCCCTTGGGCTACGCACTCGCGCCGTGGAGCAGGGGTAAGAATTAATCTACATAGACGTCGGGTTAATTCTGGCCTCACCCAGGGAAGTGGCCGTGAGTCATACGCACTGGGTCCTGTCCCACATACAGCGCCTGGGCTTTGTGGTTAACAGGGAGAAAATTAACAGTTACCTTTGTAACTTAAGTTCTACGAATAGGTGCACGTGATATCCCACTAGCGAAGTCCGCTAGGGGACGTAGCACCATGACGTAGAAGCAGGCTGCAACCGGCTCAGCGCATGATCTATCTCGGTCTGCAGCTAGACTCTGTGACATTCCGTGCTGCATGGTCCGTGGACAGACGGATGAACACTACCCGTCTGCCCGGGGAGGTTCTGGCGGGCCCCAGAGTCCCCGCTCGGCGCCTCAGGTCCCTGCTGGGAATGATGGCGGCGGCTCATGCTGTGGTGCGGCTAGGCCTTCTCCACATGAGGAATTTTCAGAGGTGGTTCTCACGCCTCAGGCTTCACCCCTCCCGGGACGGGGGGAGGCTGATCTGGGTTCCCCAAGTGGCAGCATCGAACATCAGGTTCTGGCTCACTCCGGGTCTTCTACGGGACGGAGTGACTCTGGCCGGCGCCGTGTCTCACGTGGAGATGTTCACGGACGCGTCGCTCGAAGGATGGGGCGGGGTCCTCGGCCAAAGTTCTGTAGGAGGCTGCTGGTCGGACTCAGCCCATCACATCAACCTGCTGGAGATGGAGGCAGTGCACAGGGTACTGCTGCACTTTGCTCCTCAGCTGCAGGGGAGACACGTGATGGTGCGCTCAGACAACACCACAGTGGTCTCCTATCTGAACAGGCAGGGGAGCACCAGGTCCCCCGCTCTCCATCGCATGGCAAAGGTGACGCTGCTGTGGGCGGCTCTTCACCTCCTGTCTCTCAGGGCGCGCCACGTCCCGGGGGTCCGGAACGTGGGGGCCAACAGGGGGGCCGACGTGGGGGGGCCCACTCCAGGACGAGTGGGGCCTGGCCCCAGGGGTGGCTGCGGAGATCTGGCGGAGGTTCGGCCGTCCAGTGGTCGACCTTTTTTTCGCCAGTGCAGGAAACGCACAGTGCCCGTCCTGGTTCGCCTCAAGGGCCGCGGACCAGCCGCCTTTAGACGTGGACGCTCTGGCTCATTACCCCTGGCCAGGGGGCCTGCTGTACGCGTTCCCCACCAGTGCGTCTCCTGCCGGTCCTGCTGCGGAGGATCGAACAGGAGAGGAGGTCGGTGATCCTGGTGGCGCCGGACAGTCCGCATGCTCGGTGGTTCCCCTTCCTGAGGGGCATGGCGGTGATGGAGCCCTGGGCCCTCCCGGACGAGCCGGGGGCTCTAGTCCAGGGGGGGAGGAGCCCTGTTTTCACGCCCGATAATCGGCCGCAGGCTCTGGGTTTGAGGCTGAGAGGCGGAACCTCGTAGACCTGGGTCTTCCCCCTGCGGTGGTGGAGACCACTCAGGGGGCGAGGGCGCCGTCCACTGTGAGGGCCTACGCCACGAGGTGGAGGCTATTTAGCGACTGGTGCGGTTTTCGTTCCTGGGATCCCAGGCGTTGCCCGCTGGAGGGGGTCCTGGGATTCCTACGGGAGCTCTTTGACAAGGGGAGGGCTGTCGCCACCTTGGCGGTGTTCGCGGCAGCCATTACTTCGGGTCACAACGGATTCGGGGGGTTCACAGCCCGCTCTCATCCGTTGGTTAAACGTTTTCTGCGGGGGGCACGCAGGAGGAGGCCCCCGCTCCAGAGAACGCCCCGGTTTGGGACCTCAGGGTGGTCCTTAGGGGGCTGTCGGGTCCGCCTTTTGAACCGGCGGCGGAGGCGAGTCCCGAGTGTGTCGCTTTAAGACGGCCCTCTTGTTGGCGTCGGCGTTGGCGTCTGCTAAGAGGGCGGGCGACTTGTGTGCGCTCTCTGTCCATGCGTCTTGCCTGTCCTTGGAGAGGGCGACGGCATGGTGGTATTGTGGCCCAATCCGGCTTTTCTCCCCAAGGTCATCACGTCGGCCTTTAGGTCGAGAGTCATCAGGATTAGGGCTTTCTATCCGCCACCGCATGCCTCCCCCGAGGAGGAGCGGCGGCACCTTCTGTGTCCTGTCAGAATGCTGA